GGGCGCGGGCACAGAACAGAAGACATCTTCCTAGGACAGAGCAAAACCAATGAAGGGAATAAGTGGATGTGACTTAGTATTAGCTTAAGTAGAGAATGAATGGATAAGTGGGCGGGGGAGGAACTGATGACTTTGCCCAGGTCCTAAGCACTGGCCTTTACTGGATATGTAATTTCAAGTAAAACAATTACTTTCAGTGGAATCTTTATCAATCTAGGGATAATGTCTACTTGGCCTCATCACTCAAGAGGATTAAATGAGCTGAGGTATATGAAGCATTTAGCACAGATTATTTAGCACAAGTATTGAATAAATGTTAGTTCTATTGTCATTGGGGGAAAAGGTAAATGAAGGATCCAGCTCTTTTTTTTATTATTCATTTTTTTTATCTACTCATCATAGTTTTTACATGGACACAGCTTGAAAGTGTCAATTTTATAATCACAGAATATGAGTGCTGAGAGGGACATTAAGAGCTCCCCTGGCCTGATACCCATATTTGCCAAATGGGAAAAACTAAGAGCCAGAGGATCCCAATGACCCAGACAGGTGCCTGGACCCAGACTGAGATTCCCTGGGTTTTCCTGTGCAGGGTCCTCCAGACCCACTAAACATTCCAAACCACTTTCCTGATTCCTTTCAAATGGTAAAACATCAAAAATGTGTTGAACAGTTGATAATGAACCAAAGGGACTCACCTCACTCTGCATCTTCTGAGCCTCCTTTGAAGCTTGATATGATGGTGTCTCAACAAATTCAAGCAGCGATTTCCCCTTATTTTTCTCATATTCTTCTTTGTACTTAACCTTCATTGAGAAAAGTATAAAAAGCATGTAAAGCTCACAATTCCTTATCCAAAGAGAGCAAAGTAAAATAGATATGTCCAAATTTAATCATCCTGTTTTCTAAAAATCACATTATTCTAGCCACTGAGGTTGATCCCTGGGTCCCCTGTAGTTAATGACATACAAAGAAAGTAAAGAGGTAATATATTAAAAAAATTTTAAGAAATAAAAATAATTTAGAACTACTAAATAATATAGTTCTAGGACTTCAAGTATTCAAATAGCTGGGATGTATAGATACATATGATATACATGGGATCACATATGTACATACACATGGTATATATCTATATATAGAGAGAGAGAACCTGTGACAGCTGGACTATCTATCAGTAAAGCATGAACAAGAAAGAAAACATAGTTGTGATTCTCTCTCTCTGTCAAAGGGAGGACAGTGTTTTCTGGGATTGCTGAATTTTTCTATAGACATTAAGTAAAACACACACAGAGGTTTTATGTGATTTCTTTCAGTTTCACTAGGCATTATTTAATAATATCCTGAATTATTTAATTCAATTACAACCAATCCTTATCTTATTTCAGTTTATAAATTAATTGATATTTTCCATCTACTAATAACAATAACTATAATATATATAAGCTGTCAGAGTAGTTGGCTTTTTTGGCAATATAAAATTACAAAATTAAAATCATAAGAAATTTTGATCATGATTCATTTCATTCAGAAATTACTTTCATTTAAATTGTTATGTTTAATAATTATAATAAAATTACTTCTTAAGTTGTATAATAATAATAATTTTAATGACAAATCCAAAAAAAATTTCAAAACTTAGAACTTTATGGTACCAGGAAACATAACAAATTTTAAAATTCCTATTTGTAGGCATATTTTGTTTTGGGAATATGACAGAGTGATCAATGAAAGTGTTTGAAGTATAATTACATACTACATTACAATGAAATTTTATAGGAAAAACGAAATGAAAATAAGAATGCAAAGAGAAGATTTAAAAATGTCCATTTCCACTCCTTAAAGTAGAGCCGGTTTGTGTATTTTTTAAATAATGAAGGTGGGTGTCAAATCATTATAGAATTTATATTCCACAGGATATATTTAAAAGAGTGATGCAAAATTTAATTTAATAGAAGTTGGAATGACATATTTTGCAACTACTGGAACTCAGAACAAAAAAATATAGAGAGATATCAACTTCAAAGTGTGCAAGAAGAAAAATATTTTAAAAATTTGTTTCAGGGAGTACATAGAATTTCACAATTGACTGAAATATCAATGTAAAATATACGGGCAAGATAGTTTTCCCATTTTCGTAACACTTATAATTGAACTGAAAAATTATCATAAACTTTGTGCCAGCAAAATTAATTTTGCAGCACAAAATGATAAATCGGCACACAATAAAAATTTAAATCACGAGATTTGATCATTTAACTCACATACTGTAAGTTATTTTTTTATTTTTTTAACATAAAACCAATGTATTTTTTTTTATTGTTCAAAATATTGCAGACGTCCCTTTTTCTCCCCATTGGCCCCTTCCACCCTGCCCCACTCCCTCCCCAGTCCCTCCCCACACCATTGTCTGTGTTCTTGGGTTATGCATCTATGCATATAAGTCTTTAAATGTGTGAAGTTACTGTTATCTTATAAAATGCCTTTACAATGAAACACGGTTCAAGCTTCCCAAACTTGGTGAATACTGAGAACAGTGTTGGAGATTTTCAGAAGCTACATTCACTTGTTCAGTGTGCACGTCCTTTTAGCAGCTCCACATTCTGGGTGGACGTGCAGGCAGTGGGGGGTGGAGGTGCTGGCAG